GTGTGTGCTTAATTGAAATGAGTACGTTTCTTTACACTAAACAATGTCTTAATTAAAGTGAAGCAAGAAAATTTAAAAATGATTTCGTAAGTGAAATTAAGCTGTTTGAATATGCATATTTGTTGCCATTTGATCAATACTCGAGTACAGCTAAGTTTAATCCAATTTTGTAGGCAGGGCTATGCATTTTTTGTGCGAGTGGAGTCGGAATTAAATGAAGTTGGCTCGCAAATTGGGGGCAATGTGGGCAAACGACTGTCGCAACCTCATAGACGGGCAACTGCAGTAAATATAAAGGCTATGGCAACGGGCAACAAATTGATATATATGAACAAGTCCGCGGATTGACAAAGCAACTGCAGCGTAAAAGCCCAGCCATGTTGCCTGTCTGTCTGCCCATGCCAAGCTGCAAATCCAACCCATGCCCCTTAATTGTGCAACGCCCGCAGCTGCTCTAACAAAATTCAGCGAACGGCAGCAGCAGCAGCAGTTGCAGCAACAGCGCGACATTTGTTGTTGTTATTGGTTTTGTTGTTGTTGTTATCGTGAAAGTGCATTCTGCGTATGTTAACGGCGTCGCACGGGGCGTATGAGCAATGCACGCAGACGCAGGCAGAGCAGCGCAGCTCAACAGTAGCCATTGCAGCGCAGTTGCATTTATTTTCTGCCATTGCAACGATGGTTGACAGACGCCACAGCCACCATCTCCCAAGCCCACTCCGGCCCCTTCCTCACTCACTGTTTGCCTGAATGCTGGTAGGCGGAGCATTTTTGTATTTTTTGTGTTGCCTTTCAAACGCAAGCGCGCATTTTGAATGCAACAACAAGCAATGCAGTGTAAGGCCGCCCAGCCACGCCCACTCGCCCCACACTCGCATTCAGAGTACATGCCAAATAGGGGGCTTAGCAATTTTTGCTTCTGCTGTCCGCCCGCATTGTCTATAGAATTACAGAGTACATACAAAATATTCTATATTGAAAGTTCAAAGTTCGGTTGTAGGGCATCCGTTTTGGCTGCAGGTCCCTTGAGCTACGCTGTTCATTCGCTTGATTAATTAATATTAATAAAATATACTTATGGCCAGCAATCTTTGGGGACTGATGTGCGACAAAAAATGAGCCGCATGAATTATAAAGTACTCGCGGGAGCTGATGATGATTCCAACTTTCAAGTGCGACTTGGCCATATGGCGAGCCTGACCTGCACGTGTGCACCGCTTGTCGCTTGACCCAACTCTCCCCACAATTGCCCTCTTTGCCCACTGCCACGCTCAAGTGCAATGCGTACCTATAGCCTGTATGGAAATCAGCAAACCTGCACCCGAACCCCATGTTGGCAGCTTCCCTTATTGCAGTTAGTGGTGTGCATTTTTTTTTTTTTTGATAGAATGTTGCAACTGCAGCTACTTTGGAGCGAGGGCAAAGCCTCGAATGGATTTTTGTTGTTAGCTGTGTTGCAGCTGTCGCTTGGCCCCTCTGCGCCTGTCGCATGTTTAGTTTTTCGCGCAATTTTCCGCGTTGTCTTTGTCATTTTGGTTGTTGCTGCTGTTGCTGCAGCTGCCATGCCATATTTTCATTATGCACCGGCCATCCGAACTTCCCCGGGCCCACCATGAATAAGGTTTCGGCCGTGCTTGATGCTTTTAGGCAAACGAATTGCAACTGCAACGCATTGCGCTTTGGGGAATATGCAAATCAGCCAACGGCCATCAGCAGCTGCAGCTGCATCAATACATAGACTACATCAGTATCGACAGCCGCATCAGCATCATCAGCATCTGCACTCAGGCGTCCTACCAGCTGCGCACAGAATCAACATCATCGAACTAAAAAGGAATTTCGGCCAACGCTCAAATGCGGCCCCAAGCAATTTGCATACTTCCCTAGCTAGATACCCGAAGTTCTATTAAGGTTAATATTTTAATCGATCATTTTTGCTATTAATTTCAACCAATTACGAGGCGTTTTAAATAATATTTGGGTTCACATTACTTTTCATCTGGTTTTTATATACCCTGACCACATTGACAACGGGTAGAACAGGCAGAAGGAAGCATCTCCGACCCCTAAAGTATATATATTCTTTATCATCATGAAAGTGAAACTGTCTCTTAAACATGATAACTACAGTGTTGTAGTAAAATTACATATCCTTTATTTTCTATCGCCTAACTTTAATTCCCATCGAGAAGGAACAGCAAAACCGATTAGCGATACCAATTGCAAAAGTCGCACGCGGCTTTCGTTTTTTCCCCAATAAAAAATATGCACACATAGGTTACGTTTTCTTCTTTTTTTTTGTGGGCAGCCGAGTTGTTCAGGGCTGTGCATATGCTCCTGTGTATGGCATTAATTGATTTGAATTGGAATTTATATTTTCTAGAATTTAATTACCCAATTGATAAAATGTAAAAAAATGTATTCTTTAAGTGAAGGTTTTTTATATTAAAATACGATCTGGAACCACTTTATATACAGACATACATAATAAAATTAAATAAATATGTAAAATATACCAATAAATTGAGATACATTTGACGGGCTAAAATAAAAAAAATAATTTGATTATTTTTGGAGGGGCCAATAATACTCTGTAGTCAGATCCTAACATAGAATAAAAATTATAGAAAGCCGTGACTTATGTGGAATTTCTTTACGGCCAACCCCATTTTTTGTCTACACTCACTCATTTGTTTTATTTTCTATGCAAATGAATTTTTTTATCGCTTTTCAGCGCAATTTCACAATTTATGAGCCACATTCCACCGTTGATTCATTAATTAATAATCACAAAGCGACTAATGGGCATAGATTGGGGGCTGGTGGACCGGCCGGTGGATCGGTCAAACCGCAGGACTGGCAGACAGTTAATCAGGAACCGCAGTCCACAGGCCAGATATCTAGCTGTATAGCGGGGTGTAGAGGAGTGTTCGTATTTGATGTAGCTTTGGCATTTGTTTGGGGGCAGCTTATTAATCTATAAGCTATCTGGTAAGTCTTTTATGTACATGAAATGAATGAAGGCCACCCCGCCGACACAGCCAGATGCTAGCCACATTCGTAGCTACTAAACTTTGAACCAAAAGCAAAACCAAAATCAAAGTCAATAACCAATGCCATCGATAGAGCCATAAATGTACATATGCAGACCTTATGGCCACCCCAGCACATATATGTATGTATGTGGCAAAGGTGTGAGTAGTAGCGGGCGGGTTATGTGCAGGCCTAACTTGACCCGCCCCGCCTACACGGCGTATGAGTTAAATGCGAAATGCGTACGTATGCCGGGATCAAATGCATTCCCTGTTTAGTTTGCAGGCCATATGCATGCCTGAGCATGTATGGGTGTGCATGTATAAGCCACTCACACAGGCACATATATACTCATGCATATGCATTTCACAGCAAGGGGCCGTGTTTTTGGCCCAACAATTTTTCTCCGCTTTTTTGATGCATTTCCGCGCATTTGTGCGTACGTGCATGGCTAAATACCGAGTATATTATATACATAAAGGGATACACATATAAATACATATTAGTATGCGTATGTATTTATCTGTGTGTTTTGGATACGGGCAAAATTGAAGGTACTGTAGCTACGATTTAGTTGTTGTTGTTGCCAACGTTCCACTTTTTTGTGCTGATGTATTTTCTTGCTGCAGTTTTAAAATTGTGTTGGCAAAACTGGCTTTGCGTTTACCCATACTAATACCAAAATGGAGGCAAAAAAAAAACGCGCAATAAGGAAAAGTGTTGCTTACGCGGAGGGGCAATACGCAGAGTTTTTAACACTTTTGTTGTTGTTGTTGTTGTGATGGAAAATGAAAACGAAAGAATTGCATTTGCCGTGCATGTGTGAGCGTGCGAGAGAAAAAAAAAACGAACAAAAGTACGAAATCAAAACAAAACACAGACTATGCGGGGATTGAGACTGAAGTTTGGGTTTGCCAGAGGGTGGTGGGATGCGGGCTGCCGCTGCCTCTGGCGGGGCAATCGAATTGAGCGCGAAATGGCGGCAGCAACAATGCAAAGCTAGGAGCAACAGCGCGCCCCCAAACCACACATGTGCATGTATGTACATGTGTGTGCGTGTGCAAAGTGGATGGGTTGTTAGTGGGCGGCTTCTGCTGCGGGCGAGTCAAATGGATGAATGTTTTAGTTATGTATTAGGCCCGACTGCGGCGTTTTCAGCTGCCTATACGCAGCAACGTTGCGGGCAGCGCTGTCCACGTTGCAGTCCTCCTCCCCAACCACTAGCGCAAAACTCTTCGTGTGCTGCATTTCGTGTTGCATACTTTTTGGCGCTATTTGATTTTTAGGCGCAGCAAACACAAAATGCGTTCGCCGCTTGATTGGGATAGCTGTTTGTGTGAGGCATGTGCATGTCTCTGCCTACAACTGTGTATATATGTGTTCGTGTGTGTGTGTGTGTGTGTGCTTTCGCTGCTGCTGCTGCCATCGTTGGCGCTGCCGTCGTTGCGCTTTGTTTTGATTTTTCGCGACTGAGCGCGCGTTCCCTGTCCATGTCATTGCTGTCCCTATGTGTGCTTTGGATTTGTCCAGCAATGTGCATATGTGCGCCTCGTATGTATGAGTTTGTTTCAGTGTGTGTGTGTGTGTGTATGTGTGCGCCACTGCACATGTATGTACGTACATTAACAACGCGACGCCGCCGCTGCCACTGCCATCGCAGCAACAATTTTTTTTATTCGCCAAGCACCAAAACCAAAAACGAAGAGGACAATTGGCTGCGCGCTGGCGTTGAATTTTTTCTCGCCTTTCGCGCCCGCCACATCAACGCGCACGGCCAGCGGCCAGTTTCATCAAGCCAACCTTGGGTCGATGGGAGTTGCGGTGCAGTGCGGTGACTGAGGTGAAACTTTACAATCAAATCGCGTTGCAGCGACGTCATCGAAGGCAGCGACAGCGACGCCAGCTAGCACGACCGCCGGTCTGACAACGACGCTGGCCATCAACGTTAACAATTTTTGCACAACATTGCAACAGAAATCTGCTAAACGCGAAACAAGTTGCGGCGTTTTTTCTGCTACTCGGGTCCTGTCCATGCTGCTGGCTTAGTACGCAGGCAGGCAAGCAGCCAGTCAGACAGACAGACAGGCAGGCAGGCAGACAGGCAAGCAAATATCTAGGCAGTGCCAGGCAGGCAGTCGGCAGGCAGGTCGACAGTCCAGTTCGCAGTCTTCGCAGCGCATAAATCACAGTCTCACAGCCAGGCCGAGACAACGCACAGACTCAAACTCAACTCGAACTCAACTCGAACTCGAACGCAACGCATCGGCAAGAAAGTGAAATACCAAAAGAAAAACATCGCAGTGAGGGTGCGTGTGTGCATCTGTGTATGTGTATGCTTGGCAAAAAAAAGTGAAAGTGCGCAAAAATGACTTGAAGTGCAAGAGTACAGAGCCAACCAAAATATATAAACCAATACAACCGCCCACACGTGCAAGGCTCCAAATCGTGGCATCGCCTTTTTTCTTCAGGTGGGCTGCTCATATATGTGCTTCGAAATGCCACCGTTTGCCATGAAGGCTCAACATCCAGCTGGCCCAAGGCGCACCACTTGGTTGCAGGTGTTGCAGGCGCCGTTCCTGAGCGCCGCAACGCCATCTTGAATGCCAGTGAACGCCCAACGCCCAATACTGCCATCCATGCACAGGCCAAAGACAATGTAAACGCCGGCGTTTAGCATGTAGGCAGTTTTTTCTTCATTTCCAAAAACAACCAAAACTACAAACCAGCCAGCCAACAACAAATAATCAAATAGACAAAGTTACATTTTTACCAATACGATAAGCAGCAGCAGCAACAGCAACAACAACACGCATCGCATTTTGTTCGTCAACAACAGCAAAGCAAAACAACAAGCCAACATAAGGATTCAATATCAAGAAAAAATAATTAGTAGCTTATACTAACTACTAAATATACATATATACTAAGCAGGCAGTCAGTCAGTCAGTCAGAAGTAACTTTCTGTTTCAGTTCCGCACAGATTCCGATTTGAAGCAAATTTCAAGCGTCTGAATTTGATCTCGTCTCGAGTTGAGTTTTCCAAGTTTCGGTCCAACAAATCTTGTCTCGGTCCACATCTAACGGCAAATTTTAGTTTTCTGCAAATTCAGACGTAACTCTTTAGTTAATTAACCAATTTAATGGTGCATTTTGGCGTCGAACATTTGGGCGAATAAGTAAAATAAAAACAAATTACTAAAAACAAAAACAACAAATTTGAAGAGAAATTCAAATCAAAACCTACGAAATTACCTGAAAATTTTTGAAACAACTGAAAAGTCTACGAGAGCAGCACGGAAGCACGAAGCAGAAAATTATAAGCCAAATTTTACATGTGCAAAATCGCATTATAATTATTTACAACAAAAAAAAAACGCGAACAAATTATAGAGAAAATTGAAAATAAAAAAAAAATACTTAAGATCGTTTAGTAAAAATTTTAGGAACACAAGAAAATTAAAGCAAATTAATACCAAAAATTGTTGTGATGTGATATTTTTTCGATATATTTTTATTGTTCTGGTAAGTGAAGTAGTCATTAAAGTATTTTATTTTTAAAATATAAACATTATGATAAGTAATTAAAAAATAAATTATTTTAACCCTATTACACACATATACATTTGAAAATTAATACATAAGCAATGTAGAATAATGTAAGTATTATTATATAATTAAAAGAATCTATAAGCAAAACGCACTTTTAATGATCAATTCTTATATGCAATAAACATATGATATTTATCATTTGTATATATATTTTATATCCTTTGGTCATCATTTTTTTTAACCCTGTCATATTAAAATACATTAAGCTGATCCTTGGATAGTTTTTTTTATATTTTATTTATTTTTAAAAATTGTTTACTGTTAAATATATTTAAAAATATCATAGTAAACTGCAGTCTAGTTTCTTATAGGACATGAAAGGTAGACAAAAATATATAAAAAGCAATATATACTTTTTTGCTATCTGCTTAATTTCTTATGCATAGACAATTTTTATTATATATGTATATTTGTTCATTTCAAGGTTCCCCAAAATCAATTTTATTATTTATATATATAAACTAAAAGAAAAATAAAAATATATTTCATACACCTTGTATTGTCATCAAAATATATAAAATATTTTACCTCCACAAAATGATCTCTTTAAATATATATTAAACTTAAGGAGTTCGATCGAAAATGTATGCGCAAACGATCGTATGAGTTGGCCATGATCATTTATTTCGTCTCCAGACTCTTTCCCCCATTCTATCAACCCAATTCAGCTCAGATTTGACTCGGGTTCCTTGTCGTTCTCAGAGTTGACTCGTCGGCGTCGCCGGTGGCGGCGCTCAGCTACAGCAGCAACACACGGCAGCAACTTGCAGCATGCAGAAGGATGCTGCTGGTTGTACGTGTATACAACTCGGGTGTCCCGAGCTGAAGGTTTAGTTGTAGTAGTAGACTTTTTGCTTTTCTACATTCACACATGCACATGCAGCACACAGATGCAGTCGGCGACGCCAAGTTTGGGGCATACGGCACATAATGTAAACAAGGACATGCGCAATGCAACGCTGACAGCGGCATTTGCGCTTCCCCAACTGGAGAAATGTTGCAATGCATGGCAATGCAACTAGAAGATAGTGGCCCAAAAGGGGAGGGTGCACTAGGTGGGAGGGGGACGATATGCATTTACCCAACTGCTGCTGTTGCTGCTGCATGTGGAGTACATGACAGCGACGCTGGCGTCGCTGCCAACGTCAACTTGCCACAATTTAGATGGCCAAAAAGGAGCTGCAACAAGCCAAGCTCATGTGCGTATGCCAGAGAATGCTAAAGAGAGAGCCAAACACAGCGAAAGAGGGAGTGAGCGAAAGAGAAAGCGAGCGAGAGAGTGTGTGTGGGAGAGAGAGAAAGCAAGAGTTGGCTGCGACTGCAGGCCGCAGTCCCCCCAAAAGTATGCAACGCAAATGCACTTGAAGTGCGAGGCAGCAGCGGCGCCTGCATGCAGGAGGAAGCAGACACACACAAGTAGTCGTTGCTTCTTTTTTTATGTTTTGTTGTCTCTTTTCGGCATATTTTTAGAAGTTATGCCTACCCCAGCTCCAAACCGTTTATTTACTTAACCAGACTCGTAACTTTTACATGGAAGCTACGCCGGACCAGCAGCAGCAGGAGCAGCTGTTCGTGGAGGCTCAGCACGTGCAGCAAGCAACTGACCAAAAGGCAGGCAGCTCAGCGCACACACACGCACATGCACACCCCACAGCGAGGAGTTGGTGCATTGCAATTCTGCAGCGATGATGACCATGATGATGATGAGCAGGAGCCTGTCTGGCCCCCAATGGGTGGCAGTTGGCCTGCCCACACGCACCGCCAGCAGCTGCACTTCTTTATCATAGTCGTTGTCGTCGTCGTGAACGTGGCTGCGTGGTTGGTCGGCTCAGTGGGCAGCTGGCTGGTTAGGCTGTGTGTGGGTGTGGGGCTTAAGTGGGTTGTGAGCCACCATCCAACGGAAGTGTGGTCGCGTAGACATTGCGTAGTCAGCGCCAAGTTTTTTCTATTTCTTGATGCGCAGTTTTTGGAATTTCCTTTTTTTTTGGGAAGGGAGGTCCACCCAACCGTTCGATGTGCGTTCAATGCAGCGACGCCGTGCAGTATATAAACGATTTATATAGAGCGAGCTGTTCTCCCCACCTCTGTGTGTTTGTGTGTGTGCTTGCTTGCGTGTATTTGCGCGCGCGAACTTTGACCAAGGCAAAAAACTTATCACAGATACTTTTTACATAGGACTTGCATAAATAGGGGATTGGGGGGAACCTGAGAACCATTGCCCCGCGCTGCATTTTGCGCGTCTGTTGGCCGTTTTTTTATTTTGGCGGTCGCTCTAACAGGGGTTAGCATGGAAGGCGAGTGGTGGCAACCATGTACGCGTCGAGCTCGTCCGTGTTATGTTTTGTGCCGTGTTGTATCGTTGGTTGCTGGTAACAGGCTGCCGTAAGCTGGTCGCTAGTTGATGGAACGCCGAACGCATCGCAGATCAGATCGGCATCGGACGTGCGGGTAGTTGGCATACGGCTTTTGGACGTCTTTTGAGTGCCAACATTGCTTTTTTATATTCTCGGCTCGACGCACCGAGCAAAAGGACGCAGAACGCACGCACGCAGTTCCCGAGTGGCAAAACGGTAAACGGGCAACGTCAACGCCGTCGAGAAGTCCTGGCAGAGACAGAGCTGGTCCAAGTCGTCGACGGTTCGGTTCATTTTCGGACTTGCTTATTTTCTAAAATGCTTATACACACTCGCATTCGCATATAAAAACCCATATTATTATATATATAATATATATATATATATTGTATATATATTGTATGTATATATATTATATGGACGCAAAGTGCGCGCGCGTTTACCGCCCCCGAAGCTACCCTCGTATCGGTCGCCGTTGCCTGCATTGAGTTTCGAATGCCATTAAATATTATTCATATACAATAAATGAAATAAAATAAATATATATATATATATATATGAATTTATATATATCTATATATCTATATCAAATATCGCCAGGAGCCTGCGCGAGTGTGAGTGCGTGTGATTTACAATAACAACACGAAATTCTAAACGCTTGGAATGGAATGAATGCAAATATAAAATGAAAATTCGCATTATCAAATTAATTTTTAAAATTTATTGCCGCCTAATGGAAATAAAATACAATTAAAAAAAAAAAAATAAAAAAAAATCCCCGTCACAACAACAGACCTTTAATTGAGAAAAAAAAAAACACAAACAAAAAATTGTTCACGATAAATATTTAAGCCGTAATTCCAACAAGTCCAAACAAGTTTTTTAAGAAGCCAACAATTTTTTCAAATCGTCTTTCACATATAATTTTCAACGTCTGCGTCGTCGTCTGATCACCGTTTATGTTAAATATTTCAAATGGCTGCCTCAAAATCAAAATCAAAAACTAAACTAAACTCAACATTCAAATATAAATCCCAAGTCGGCTTGTATTAGTTCTGAAAAATACAAACAAGAAATACAGACCAAAGCTTAATATCATAATTTCTTTGGCGTTCTCATGTACGCATACAAATTGAGGCTGCTGCAATTCGACAGATACTTTGACACATTCCAATTGCAAGAGCCACCAAGTTGGGATCCCTCGGATCGTTCGCATCGCATTTCGTTAACGGCGACGGCGACGCAGACAAAAATGCCAAAATTGGCAACACGCTGCGCCCCGCACTCAACGAACTGCCACTTCAGACAACCAGCATTAGCTGTGGACACGAGAGAAAACCTCAACATTGCCATGGATAAATAACATCAGTAAATTGTCCTGTAGGTGATCGCAAAAAATTTAAAACAAGAAAACCTTCCACATTTTTAAGAACCTTGCAACTTTTACTATGCTTGCGATTGAAGACCAAACCCAGACATGGTCCCTTTAGCTGTTTCACGCTCGGAACCATTACGCTTTTTATTTAATTTATTTATATTTATATTGTACATCTATATATATATACATATTTTTTTGTTATTATAATTTTATTCTTCTTCTTGCATATCAAAATATAGTTTTGATTCCATTTTTAAATTATTTTTTTTTGTTTCTTTTATTTTTCAGACAAAAACTCAATTTAATCTTTAAAATAAATACTATTATAAATGTATAATCGTTCTATTCATTATCTATTTATAAATTTATTTTATCTGTATATTTTCACATCATCATTTTCTTACACATCGAAAAAACTACTTGTTAGCTTCCGTCCTTTGCAAATCCAAGCACGTGCTCGTTGCTTTTTATATACAAAAGTGAAAAAAGAAAGCATATAAAATGAAAAGGAAACGCACAAAGACAACCCCAAACACAAGCACATGTATCTAAAAAAATACAATTTTATTCAAGCAAAAAATATATTAAGCTTGAATGCGAGAGTTTCTCCAACGCAATATTCGCCGCGAATTCCTCAGCAGCCGTCGGCAAAAAGTCAAAGACATTATAAAAACACTCACACACACATTCAGTAGTATCTAGAACAGGTATTTTAACTAATACAGCCACATATAAGGGAATCTGCGTCCTTTTGGCATGTTTTATCTTAAGAAGCGAAGCGCATTAAGGCTGCTGCCAAAATACGGCTGCCCATTTGCAGGGGTTGCTTAAGCGGCCTCCCCCAGAACACGCATCCACAGACACCCACACACACACATTCGTATCGCTCATACTCCATTTTGTTCTATTGCCCCAACGCGCAGTCGCTGTCGACGTCTCAGCTGGCGTCACTGTCGCTGCCGCTGCTGCTGCTGGCGCTGATGGCGCTGCTGGCTGCCCCTCCATGTATTTGAATTGCGCACTAACTCTAGCTCAAAGAGAGAGTTTTTGTGCTACACCCCCCACCCTCACCTTTCCCCTCTCACTCATTCCCTAATGTGTATGTGTATCCTGTTTTTGCATTTATTTTATTGCCCGTGGGGGAGACAGCGCTGTCAACGATTTTATTTGCAAAAAGGAAC